TGATGGAAAATAAATAAATAAATAAACCAGGAACAAAAACAAAACAAACAAAAAACTGTCAATAATTTTTGACTAACAACTTGAGGATAGAGTTTTCCCTACAAGTGTGGAAAAATGACAACACTGTCTTGAGAATGGGCTTTTTCAGATAGCATGAAAGAAGTTAAGTAGTGACAATGCTGTGGATACAGAACTTTGTGAGGCACCACAAACCTGATGTGACTTCACAAGTGCCTGCAAAGCTGTGATTTTTACTGCTACAATGTTGTAAGACTACAAGTGTTCAAGGATACCCTCGAACTGGAAAATAGTGGCTGGGTGTAAAGTTACTACCTTACAAACCCTACTGTTATTATTAAAGCCCAGCAGATTTTCTTGAATAGCCCTCAAATTGCTGCAAGTATTTGGTTGATATACAGCTATTTTTTAAAAAGTTATTTTAATATTTTTTTCTCAGCCTCCAGAACTATGAGAAATAAATTTTGTTGTTTATAAACCACCAAGTTTATGGCATTTTGTTACAGTAGCATGCATGGACTAAGACATTGGCCCAAATTGTAAAGTTGGAAAGGCAAATTACCCAAGAGATTACATGATAAATTAGTTTTCATAGAGGGGTGGATTTATGAAAATATTTCCTCTGCCATTCTGATGTTCTGCCTTATTCTCAAATGTTTTATATGCAGTTAAATGCTTGAGGTTTCCACTATGAGCATTCTAAATATCCTTCTCTATTAAGCAGTGATATCTCAAGACAAAATAATCTCAAGACAATCACAAGAAAAAACAATGCCTCGGTCCCTTGCTCCTGAAATAGCCAACAGAGAGAATTTTTTTTTTTTTTACCTCTCTAGGCCTCACTTCCCTAGTTCAGTAGTAGTAACAGAGGACTTTCTCCACATTCAGGGAAGCCCAAAATGGATGCCAATTGTGACACTACTTATGGGTAAGAAATGCTTAGTAGTAAGATTGTCCTATACTTCAGACTTCGATCTCTTAAAAAAAAAAAAAAACAAACTAGAGAAAAGAAAGTTTATAGTTACTCATATATTTAAAACCTAATTTTTGAGAACTTATCATGTGTTAGATACTGTGCTTATCTCATATTAGATAGACATGGTATCTGCCATCTTACAGCACACAATCTCAGAGAACTAAGACTCTTTTAGAATTTACTATGCTAGCAGACTGAGTGTAATGGCTCACACTTGTTATCCCAGTGTTTTGGGAGGTCAAGGTGGGAGGATTGTTTGAAGCCAGGAGTTTGAGACCATCTTGGGCAGCAAATCAAGACCCCATCTGTACAAAAAATAAAAGAATTATCAGAGCAGAAGGATCCCTTAAGCCCGGGAGTTTGAGGCTCTGATCATGCCACTGTACTCCAGCCTGGGTGAAAGAAAACTCTGGATTTTTTAAGAATATAGTATGTTGCCTTCCTTCCCTCCTCCCTCCCTCCCTCCTTCCATCCTCCCTCTCCCTGCCTGCTCCTTCTTTCCCCCTCCCTCCCTCCTGCTTTCCTTCCTTGCTTCCTTCCTTTCCTTCCTTCCGTCCTCCCTCTCCCTGCCCCCCTCCCCCACTTCCTTGACTTCCTTCCCCTCCGCTCCTTTCCCCTCCCTCCTTCCTTTCACCCTGTCTCCCTTCCCCCTCTTTTCTTCCTTCCTCCCTCCTTTCTTCTTTCCTTCCTTCCTAACTTTCCTTCCTTCTGTCCTCCCTCTCTCTGCCCCAATCTCCTGCCTCCCTGCCCCTCTCCTTCCTTAGAAAAAAGAAAGAAAGAAAGAAACTAGTGTGTTAATTGCTTAAAAAGGATGTACAAGTTGCTTCTGGATAACTGCAGGGAGGAACATCTAACTCATATTGCTAGAAGTGATTACTTATCTAACATGTGAAAGAGAAATAGGCATTGGCTGTGAAGGGCATAAGAGAGAAGTAAAACGGGGAGGGGTAAAGAAAGTATTCTTCAGAAAGGACTACTGTGTGAGATCGAGTGGTCAGAGGATTTTTGGCTGGAATGAAGACAGTAAAGGGCAACGGTAAGAGGTAAGGACAGACAAATAAGCCAGGCATAAGCCAAAGCTGAATCACTGACTGTTATGATGTGAATGTTTATGCTCTCCAAAATTCAAATGTTGAAACCTAATGAACAATGTGATAATATTAAGAAGTGAGGCTTTCAGGAGATGACCTAGGTGAATGGGAGTAGTGCCCCTATGGAAGAAGTCCCAGAGAGCTGCCTTCCCTCTTTCTATCATGTAAAAACACAGCATGAAGGCACCATCTATGAACCAAAAAGCTGGCCTCCACCAGACACCGATTCTACCAGTGTCTCAGTCTTGGACTTCTCAGCCTCCAGAACTATGAGAAATAAATTTTGTTGTTTATAAACCACCAAGTTTATGGCATTTTGTTACAGTAGCATGCATGGACTATGACATTGGCCCAAATTGTAAAGTTGGAAAGGCAAATTACCCAAGAGATTACATGATGAATTAATTTTCATGTTGAATGTTAATGTTTCTGTATAGCTGAAGAAAGAATAGAGATGGTGAAAAGTCTGTTGGGGAGGATAGCTTTATCAGAAATTTTCAGTGACTCAATTACAGTGCAGAAGGTTTCTTAGAAAATGAATGACAAGAAAAGGAGAAGAGAGAAAAGAAAAATGCTGGGTCTGATTCAGGTCCGTAGTGTACTGCCTTTCCAACATTCACCATGTCTCTTCCTGTTCCCTAACACAACCTTTACTGTTGGGGCAGCTACCATCCCCCAAATAAGCTGTCTGATTTGTAGAAAACCAACCCTTTCCTTGCACCAAGGGTTGATCTGTTGGTTTGAGAATAATCTCATAGCCCCCTGCCAGTAATTCATCCTGAGTGGAAATTTGACTTAAATTGGCTCAACAGACAGAAGGAAAATATTTTTGTTTCCTGAGTAATGAAGAGGTGCACTCTCTTTCTCTCCCTGGAAGCCTGTTGCCCCAGCCTGTTGGCAGCTATTTGGAGTGTCTCAGACTCCTTTGTAATTGAGTGCCCCTGTGACATGAATCTTACCAAGAGAAGAGGGTCTGCCAGGGAGTGTACAGAAGGCCATTTAGATCTAGTATGGTGGCTCAGCAACATTATGGAGCCCCCAAGCTCTTCCTCCCACCCTTCCAGTTGCTGCTTACAACCTTCCCACCATAAGCCAGCACATGGACAAAGCAGACCAAGAAGTGTAGAGCCTAGAAAATCTTTCCCTGATTATACTACCCCTGAAGTCTGCCCTATTGTTATACTTCCAGTTATGTCTATCAATAACATTCCTTATTGTTTAAGCCAGGTGTGAACTGCATTTCTGTTACTTGAACTTGAAAGCATCCTAAAAGCTACAGTAGGGAAATGAACACAAAAGGAGACCAAGAAAAAAACACTGGATGGTAGAGGAGAGGCAGAAGAGCTCAATGAGACCCAATCTGAGGGAGGATGAAATTTTACAAAAAGAGGATCACCAACTGTGCTAAATGTAGTAGATTTATCATGGAAGATGTTCCTGTACTATTTCTATTTTGGATATGGAACCTCTTTATATCAACCTGCATTCACTCTTACCATACCATGGGGTTTTCTCATCTATAAAATATTCAGAGGCTAACTAATTAATAGCAGCCTACTTTCTACTTTACAACTGGTTCATGATGATTACAAAGTGTACTTTGATAATGAAATACAGAATAAACACGATCAAGTAAGACATAATGTAAATACACTGAAACACATAGAAACTTCTCTTTTCTCCACATAACCCAAATTAATCAGTGAAGTCTTCATATAAGAAACTTTCAATATATACATCAGCTGGATTTTAGAACTATCGATATTTTGTCACTCTTGCACTTCTCACTTTCTGCACATATAAAATCAATTGCTTGAAAATCAGAATATATTTTCTGATACAAACCATGTATAAGTGGCAGTTAGATTCTGAGGTCAACTGAAACCATCTAACCTATAAGATACATGAAATTTTTACATTTGGGGTAAAAATATTATTGAAACCATGAGTTAATTAACTATGAGTCCCATTTTATTAATGCATCTAAGAAGAGGGGCTTACCAAAGCCAAAGTAAATTTCTGATCAACCCTTACCAAAATCACAGAGCACACAGTGTTAAAGTTCAGATTTAATCTACCAATACAAAGGCCTCCAATTTTTTGTAGCCATTAAGTTGTTAGAAACATCTAGTTTGTCTAAGTTCCAGAACATTTTCAGAAAATACTTATAATTGCCTTTACTTTCCATATCCTCAAGATCAGTAGTTCTCAAAGTGTGGTCCAAGGACATCTGAGGGTTCCCTAAACTCTTTGAAGGGTCTGCAAGAGCAAAACTACTTTCTTAATATTACGAAGATGTTATTTGCTCTTTTCATGCTCGTTCTTTCATGGGCACATAGTAGAGTTTTCCAGAAGCTATGTGACGTGTAATATCACAGCTTGAAAGGTTATATATGAAATAGATGTGAGAATCCTACTGTCTTCTATTAATTCAGATTTTAAAATATATGTAAACATATAAAACAATTCAAATATTATCCATATATTTTTTGTTTTAAAAATATAATTTAAAAAAGTTATTTACATTTAACATGTAATGGGGTTAATATTATTATTTTTAATGAATCTATAAATATATATAAAATTTTCTTTCAGTTTTAATGTCTAATGTTTACACTGATAAATATAACACTCATAAATAAAAATTCCTTGGGGTGCTCCATAATTTTAAAGAGTATAAAAAAGTCTTAAACACAAAAAATGTGAGAACTACTATTCTAGACAAATTCCACTCTTCATTATCTAAATTAAATTTTTGGTTGATAGAATGAAAAGATTCTTTCTCCAACATTTTTTACAAATGTCATTGGAAACAAAATTAATCCCCTCCCTGACATTCCCTTCTATGATAAATATTTTCTGATTCTGAGTAGGAAACAGACAATTACTAGGATGATGTATAAGTTTGCACTCACCTTTACTAACTCTGTGTAGCCCGTTTCTCTCGGTGTCCACCAAGGTTGTGCTTTCAGTCCGTTCACATTGTAGAGTGAGCGCTGCCAGACAGATGCAAAGTGTCCTCTCTTGTGCCCAAGCTCATACCACTTATATGCCTGAAGGAACAGGAAAGAAATGTGCTCCAAACTGTTCTTTAAATGAAGCAGTTTTTATTAATGTTAAAATCAAAGACATGAAAAGTAAGGTATTACTTTGAGACACTTAAACAATGAGCTTGCAGTTAGGTAGCCACATCTATTGAAATCTGTTGAAAACACTGTTTTACTTCATTGGGTTTCCGATTATGACCTATTCATATAAATGCACACATGCAGTTTATGTTTATTTTCTCTGTGAGGCTGTATGCTTTCTGAATTGTGGGTTCATGCCCTACACATTTTGGCTTCCCCCAAAGTGTCCAGCACAAGTCTAGCACTTATTTGTTGAACAGATAAATAAGACATCAAAGGGGATTATATTTATATCCTAGTTCTCATTTCTATTTTATGTTTCCTTAAAAAAAAAAAAAGGATTAATAATTTATTTAGAGACTTTGCATTTGCTGAACTGGAGAGTAATTTCTTTTCATATGTACTTTCTTTCCATGTCTACATTTAAGAAGGTTATCCTAGGGTGACAGAGTGCAAATCCTCCATTAAATTAGGTTAGCAGTAGGGAAATATTATTCTGAGTTGGTAATAAATATAGTGATAGCCTATATTAGACTTTTTAAAAGGGCATTTTTTTGTTTGTTTATAATTTTTTTCAGCCATAAGGGATAACATTTGTGGCTTTAGGCTAGCTGTAACCTGATACAACTTGCCTCCATGACTAGCCTTTTCAGGGACAGCTGGCTGCAGAGTATACTTCCCCATATGGCTCCTTCAAATGACGACCTCACCATATGCTCTCCAAGTGGCCCTTCCTGCATGCTTCCTGAACCATGCATGCTCCATTGTCTTTGGAATGGAAGGGTTTCCAAAGGTGCAATTAACATGATCCCTTCCATTATTACAAGTCCGATCTAATGATTACTTTTGACGAGTGATTTCAAATATATTGTTGATCAACAAAAATAAGTGTTTAATATCGACTTGAATGTCTTCCTCATAAACTTCCGGATAAATTTTGGATGCAAAAAACGTTAACTTTTAAAAGTCTTTTAAAATTCACTATTTCAAATTGTCCTTCATTAAAAAAATGAAGGGTGATGGCATTGCGATCTTATATTTTCTTTTGTGTGTGTGTGATTTTGCCATTTTATTTACTTTACAGAATATTTAGAAATGTAGAAATAGATTTACAAAATAACACAAAAGCAATCTTGACTCACTACTGATACAGAAAAATATTACCCTTGTATTCTTTCCAACCCCAGGCTTCTCCTTCCTCTTCAGACAACTATTATCATGAATACCACCTGATATTTTCAATAACACTTTACATTTACTACTTGCTTTTACATGTGTAGTCTCATTTGATCTTTCAATAAACCCATATATCTCCATTTTACAAATGTTGAAACTGAAGTTTTTGAAGGCTAAATCTCTTGTACTAGAATGTAGACTTCTGGCAGCTTGTTCTACTTTTCTCCCATCTTTGTATTACTTAACAAAAACTATCAAACTGATTTCTTATATGATTATTTTTCTCATTAGTATCTCAAATTAAGAATGCATATACTAATTATTTTTATATATTTTTTCTTAAAATACATGTCTGTTCTTAGAATTTCATTAAAAACGAGAAAGTTAAATGGCTAATTGTTGTCTAATTTTTTAAAAATAGCATTTACCTTTGAAATTAATTCCTCTGGGGTTTTTTTTGTCTAATTTGAATTTAGGATTTTATTTCCTATAGCTTTCAGTGCAAAAGGGAACAACAATGTTAATTATAACAAATTATTTTTTCAACAGTCTGATAATCCATTTTTTGAGTCATCAACAATATATTTTAAAGACTAAGAATATTTTTAAATAGTGAGAAAAAAACTTATTATAGGAAAATCAAAACAGCAAACATTACAGCTCTTGTTTAGGACTTAGAAGTTCTTAGATTTTAGTCCTGGCCTTTACCACACAACATGCTGGATGCTTGGGCAGGTCACTTCACTTACAATGACATGTTTCAACTATCTGTAAGAATTTTTCTGACAAAGTACTACTGCACCAAGATAGGACCCTTAATTTAGCACTCCCCTGCCACTGAACTCCTAGAATATATCAAACCGTGAGTACGATATATCAGAAAAATTTAAAAAATCACCTTCAAAGAAACATGACATAGGCAACCCAGTGAATTCACCTAGATTGCTTTTATTAAAAAAAAAAAAGAAACCGCTTTACAATAAAATTTACTAGAAAATCAATTATCAAGTTAGAATCCTCTGAAAACTTTCCTTTATTATTTTCTGTCTAATTAGCAATTTCATATATCTAATCAGTGACACCACACAGGAAGAGCACCTGGGTCACCTTCTTAAATGTGTTTTCTATCAATGTCATCTCTACATTCTTCAAATCATTGCAGCGTATGGTTCTCTTTCTCTTGCTCTCTCTCACACACACACATACACACACACTCGCACATGTGTGTGCATGCATGCAGAAAATAGTATGTCAAAAGATTCCAGTCTAAAAGAGCCCAGGCCATGGGCTCCACCTGGAGTCTGTTCTGTCTGGAGCCTGCTGCCATTGGGGCCTGGGAGACACACTTCTGGTAAGAACAGCTGGCTGCAACCTGCCTGAGGAGGACTATAAATGCCATCACATGCAAATAGAACCTTATTTTATTTTGCACAGAAGGTTTTTTCAGCATAGGTTGCCCTAGAAAGAGATGGAGAATATAGCGAAAAACAACATCTAGGTTCTTACTGTTATCATTGGGGCAGCAGGCAACAAAGACTGCAATGAGCATTGAGTAAGAGGGAGGATAAGGTGGATACCAAAGACCTGAGGAAGTTGAATCCCCAGAACTGGCCCTGACTAGACTGGAGTGAGGAGCAGAGGGAGAAGCTGAAGCTCACTCAAATCCTGGTCCTAGGAAATTGGCAATATCATCGAATGAGAGAAGGAACTCAGGAGGAATAAAGGTTTAAAGGAAGACAAGTTGTGTCTGTACTATTGTGTGGGGACGCTGAACAGGCAGTTGACAGGTGATTCAGGACTTACAGAAGACTCGATCTAGCTAGAATGTGGATTTGGAAGTTACAAAGTTCCTTGTATTTGAAATGCAAGGAACAGCTGAAGCTAAATTGATGCAAGACTATCATGGTTTTTCTTCCTTTCTCTTCCTGTCCATACTAAATTAACCAGTCAGAAAAATTTCACTCAAAACCCACTTTATTAACAGTCTCTGTAGCACAGAGTGTTAGCTTTTCATGGGTCTATCCTCTTCCAGAGCTGGAGCAGTGCTCTATACTTAAAACTAGGAAGGTGTTTACTTCCCAATATACAAACTCAGAGTACAGCAACCAATTCAGATTCCACACCTAATATTGGGATTAAACGAAAATGGGGTTTCTATTGGTTTCTGGTCTCCTGTAATGATTAATCTCTATGAACTTTGTAAATTCAGGAACTGTGCTGTTCTTTGCATATTAATGATAAATAAGCAGGTAGAACAGTCCCATAGGTTCAAATCCCAAGCCCTTAACAAGTGTTTAGTAGTGAATTCATTGTCCTTGAAGTAAGGGCTGTTTTCATCTAAGATATGAGATAAATCATATAAGTCTTTTATCTGTCTTTGCCCTGGACCTTGAAATGTTCAAATAAATTAATCAGTGACAATTACATTTACCATAGTCAGACATGAACATTTATCCAGTGATAGATACTATAGCAAAATCATTCTTTTCCCTCTCATTCAAAGAGGTACCACACCTAAAAGAACCAAGGGATGCAAATATGATTATTAATCAGCAATTTCTTCTCCCTTCTTGCTCTTCGCATTTCTTTTCTTTTTTTTTTTTTTTTTGAGTTAGAGTCTCACTCTTGTTGCCCAGGATGGAGTGCAGTGGCACACTCACAGCCACCACAGCCTTGACCTGCTGGGCTTAGGTGATTCTTCCACCTCAGCCTTCCAAGTAGTTGGAACTACAGATGCACGCTACTACGCCCGGCTAGTTTTTGTGATTTATTGTAGAGACGAGATCTCACCAAGTTGCCCAGACTGGTCTCGAACCCCTGGGCTCAGGAAATCCTCTCACCTTGGCCTCCCCAAATTCTGGAATTACAGGCTGAGGCACAGCGCCCAGTCAGCTCTTCAGTTGTAATGTCTCGTTCTGTTTCAGTTGACTGTTTGATAGGTCAGAGGAGGAAAGGTACAGATTCATAGAAATGTATGAAGAAAATAGTGTCAATTATCCAAATTTCTAGTACCCTAAGTCTGCTCATGTCTCCAGCAGGCAGCCCTGTCACAAAACCCCTCGCCTCTCTGAACCCTCAACTGTCCAGATGGTTCCATGTTCTTATTAATTTTAGAAACCTGAAGCTGTGTTATCCTTAGATGTCACTTAAGTATATGGAACACAATGGTTACAAAAATTCAGTGTCACACTACTACCCTTTTATTCACTGTCTCCAAAGCACGGCCCAGCCTAGCACCCCTGCAATAGTGCAGGACAGGAAAGGCGGGCTTCGCCATCCAGCAGTGCCATATAAACAACTAATTGTTTTGAAATTTATAGTCCCTGATGTAGTGATTAATGATCCAATATTATGTTATAGAAGCTGTATTCAGAAAAAAGTAATCGTCCCAAAGAAAACATGTAACTTGTTTTAGCTACAACATTTTTTTGTGTGTGAGTACCTGTCATTACTATAGCCATAAGTATTAATCTTAAGTTTGGTATTACATATTTCAGAGGGTAATTACACAACTAACCAGCAGGATCAGCATTCTTAGAAATCGGTTAAGTAACGACTTCAATGTAAAAATAACTAGTTTTGAAATTCCAAAATAAAACAAAAACAAATTCAGGCAAACAAATATATTTTAAAATTTAAATAATTTCAGAGACATCTCTTTATCTCATAATTAGAAAAATACTTGTCCAAGGCAATTTCTCTTTCTCTTTCTCTACAGGCACACAAATACATACATACACAAACACATAGACACACACCAATTTAAAGACTGCTCTTGTGCTTACTTAGCTGACTTCTTCAAAGAAACTATAAACACCAAATCCCAAGAATTCTTAATAGGATTAAACTTGAGCTTTTGGGTTGTTCCAAACACAGTTTAAATAGCTAAAGAGTTTAAATCACAGTCTGCAAAGGTTGATATTTTCTCTCTCTCTCTCTCTCTGTGTGTGTGTGTGTGTGTGTGTGTGTGTGTGTGTGTGTGTGTGTGTATATATTTGAGTTTTAGTCTCACTCTGTCGCCCAGACTGGCATGCAGTGGAATGCTCCTGGCCACCGCAGCCTTGACCTGCTGGGCTTCGGCGATCCTTCCGCCTCAGCCTTCCAAGTAGCTGGAAGTACAGGTGCGTGCTACCATGCCCGGCTAATTTTTTGATTTATTGTAGAGATGAGGTCTCGCCAAGTTGCCCAGGCGAGTCTCGAACCCGCGGGCTCAGGCAATCCACTCACCTCCGCCTCCCAAAGCACTGGGTTACAAGCTGAGCCACCAAGCCTGGCCCAAAATATATTTTTTAATTATAACTTTCCCGTAGGAATAATTATTCCCCCAAATTAATCCTCAGTGAGAGAGAAGAAGAAGTTCACACACCCATTACCTCTTTGTTCCCAACCCTCTGCATAGCATCCCCCAGGTGGAAATAAAATCTTCCATCATCAGTGCCAGGATCTCCAGATTCTATTCCTTCCTGTAGAGAGACAGTGTTAGTATTTGTGAAAGAATTAAACGCCAGATTCCATTCTTCATTTATGTGGATTTTCCTATGGCATATTATACAAAAATCTAAGAACCAGAAAAATATATCTCTGTGAAAATTTGACAATGAGTTGATTGGTCAATATTTGCAATCCAAAAGCAAGAGGAGATCATAAAGCTATATGTAACTATCATTACTCCATAGTGGAATAGCCCATAAAATTAGTATGATACTTTGTGCACCTTCTGTGTGAGAGCAATCATAGTTAAATATTCTAAAGAATTTCTCTGGCAGGATAGCTCTCACATTATTTTGCTCTCCAAATCTGACCATATGTCATCTAGAGACTTTTTATTCCTGAACCAAAATGTTTAACTGCTCATGTTTGAAGTGATGGCAGCCCAACTGCAAGTACTATTTCTTTCTACTCAAAACAAATGTGTCCTTACCTTTTAATAATTTTTTTTTACAAAACACACAGAAGAATCAAAGCTAATCCGAATCTTTAAAAATGTAATTTTTATTAAACAAATCTCTATCCTAAAACATTTAGCTGATGTTTTCACTTCACACACAAAGATTAAAATTGAAATTTATGTTTCCCTTCTCTTCCTTTAATTTTTAAGAGAAAATATTAAAGCAAGAGAATGAATTTAGAAAAGCAAAAGTCAAAAGTAAAAAAAATATCTACATGTCAAGGACTTCTTTCTAAAAAATCTGCATTGTTGAGGCCTCTTCACAGGAAGCTTATTATTTTTCACTAGGAAGAAATTTTATTTGCATAATGTTGGAAAGTAGCAAGTCACATGAGGGGATAGAAGAAACATCACTCAGTTTGGAAGGAGAGCTCACCAACACATGCCCTTGCCTGTTTAACTAACCAACACAGGTCTCACTTTCTCCATATCTGAAGGGGAGTATTATCAAGCTGTCCTTTGTCAAAGGAAATATAAAGGGGACAATTTAAATCAGAGAAACCCACATGCCCACAGGGCCTTGGCAGGGAATGTAAGGGTTTACCGGCACCCAGAGACAGCCCAACTCCAAGGGGGGCACCACTGCTCAGCTCAGTGTGTAGGTAAGTGGGCCAGATATGAACTTTCCAGAGTCAAATGAGGCAAGCAATTAAAGTTGTTTATAATAGAACTATGCTGGCCAAACAAAACATGCAAGCTATTTGCAATCAGTGGGTTGTTATTTGGAAAATCTGATTTAAGTCCTGTAAAAGAAGGAGATCATAAAAGTGGAATATACTGTTACTTAAAGAAGTTCACAGCTATGTAATCAGGTATCCGTCCAATATGGTAGCCTCTAGTCACATGTCACTATCTATGTTAAAATTAAATAAAATGAAAAATTCACTTCCTCAGTTCTAGTAGCTACATTTCAAGTGCTAAATGGCCACATGAGATCAGTGCCCATCATACTGGAGAATCCAGAATCGAGTATGACCATCAATACTGGAGAATGCTTTCTGCCATCATGGCAGAAATTCTAGAACAGCCCTGTACTAGACCACATGAGATTCTGGTGAATTGATTCACCAGATATGAGAAAAACATAGCATATTTTAATCTGAATATTTTGAGCTATCAGATAAGCTCGGGGTTGGCCTATTCAATTTGCATTTATTACCACACTTTGCGTAGCTAGCCAAGAGCCCTGTTCAGAGTAGACTCAATACATGATTAACTTGCAAAAGGAAAATTTCATGCATTCTCCATATTTTAAAATATTTAAAATGTCACTCATTTTTTTCTACCTTTTTCATTTATTTGTAAACTAATAACAATTTCAGTTTTAGGAATTTGTTCATAAAGTCCTTTCCAAATGGTCTTGCTCACATGGTTGGTATTTTGACATCTGACATACCGACAGTTATAGCAGAGGCTGCCTACCAGTATCATGGTCAGAGAGTGTACTATGAAAGACCCAGCAGTGCATGCCAATCAATCTACAGTGCATCATCAAGGATGTCCCAATGACTCAAAGGGATCCGAAGATGAAAGAAGAGGAAGAGCAGTGAGAATTACCTTCAAATAGGGAATGCTCTCAGCGATCTTGTTCTGTGCCTTCAGGATGAAGCCATAATGGACTTTGGCAAAGCCATCGTTAGGTGTCACACTCAGAACCTAAACACAAAGAAAACGAAGAGCTAGAGTGATTGACTACAAATGACGGCCAAAACAAATTTTCATTTGCTTTGCTGTACTTAGATTGGATTATGATGTTACAGTTTAAAACATTGTAGTACTTTTTCTGGTGGCAATATCATTAAACTTCAATGGCCTCGTTTCCCTGCAACTCAATCAATATGCTTTTCACATGTACACAATGGCTCTTCAAGAATGAAGGATTGAATGAAAGGGCAATAACTGCTAAAACACTGCTTTACTGATGCAAGTCAGCAAAATATCTGTCAATTGACATGACTTGAAGATTTTTTTAGTGATCAGGGGGAGATTGCTTTGAATTTGTTATACTTGGAGACAACGCTGGATGGTTATCAGACACCGTTTCATATATAAGCTTTATACATGACCTTAACTAAAGTAAAATTTAGATTTTGATTTGTAATATGTCACAATACAGTCATTCAACAAAGCAACTTCCAGAGTACCCAAACCATTTTAAGCACTGAGGATAATATGATGAGCAAATCCCATATTCTGTGATAAAATCTAGGTAAAAATTTCATAAAAACCACATCGTTATTTATTATTATAAGCATTTACTCTGATTTAAAGATAAAATATGCAAAATGCCTCTAAATTAAATTTTAGCAGTGAGAAATCAAAACAACAATATTCAACTCGTGAAGCTGCTTAGATAAATTAATATGTGGAACAAAAGAGAAAGATGAGGAAGGTTTGAGTTGGATGCATGTAGAGAAAAAAATGTATCTCCTAACTCTTCTTCTCATGTTGGAGCATGGGTAGAAAAAGGAAAGCCACAGCCACCATGAGGCTCTGACACAGAAGGAGCAAATGAACACAGGGAGAAGATGCCATAACCTTGATGGGTCCACACAGCGTACAATACCAACACTTCAGTGTTTTCATCTTGGATCTGGTCCTGCACCCCATTCATTAGCAAATCTGGCCAATGTTACCTTTCAAGTATATTCAGAATCACACCACTTGTTGCTTCCTTCACTGCTGCCACCCTGGTCCAAGCCTCGTCATCTCTCCTTACCTTCTCACAGGGGCCTATTACTTGCTGATCCACTGTACCCCAAGGCCTGCTCTCAAGCAGTCCATTCGCCACATAGGGCCGAGTGAATTCACTAGATCTTGGGGGCAGATCTGATCTCATCCTTCCTCTGCTCCATTTCACTCAGAGTACAAGACCCTGTACTTGGAACCACCCCCCAGGACTCCCTTGGGCTAGGCTGGTCCATTCTCTGGCCTCCCCTCCTGCCTCTTCTCAGGCACTTCCCAGTCACCTTTGAGGCACACTACACTCCTTGCTGCTCCAGAGCAAGTGAAAGGCACCCCTGGCTCAGGACCCTGGCACGATATTCCTCTGACTCAAGTTCTTCCACAAGATATCCAGATGACTGACTCCTTTAACCTAATGAAGGAAATCCTTGCTTGAAGGTCACCATCTCAGGGTGACCCCCTGACCACCACCTCTACTATCAAAACAGCCCCCTCTTCTGCCAACTTCATTACCAGTCACTCTCCCGCATCTTTGTCCTCATTCATGTTTCTTCATGGCACTCATCACCATCCAACCTATGATATTTTTTATTCCCTCTACTACAATGTAGGCTCCACAGGGATTTAGTCTATTTCACTTAGTTTTCATCCCCGGTGCCTGCCATGCAGCAGGAACTTGAGAAATCGGCACTAAATGCATGGATGGGTGCATGCTGGGCTTTCCTCCCTAATGAGGTCTCTGAAAGCCCAGATCCTGCTTTTCTGTATCATTTGCAGCACTGTTCCTCAGCTAGATGCTGAGCAAGAGCTCAATAAATACCTCTGAAATTGAGCTAAATTGAGGCAGATCACGTTTTTGCTAGCATAACCACAAAAATTATTATAATTATTACAGCTACACAGATGACATTTCTGCCTACTGGAGGCACAGAACCATCATCTCAAGTAATTAACAAATGTATTCATTTACTAGCTCAACCTTTTTCTCTCTCTCTCTCTCTCTAAACTTTCTCTGTGATAGGGTCCCACTCTGTTGTCCAGGCTGGAGGGCAGTGGTACGAGCCTGGCTTACTGCAGCCTCGACCTCCTGAGCTCAAGTGATACTTCCACCTCAGTCTCCTGAGAAGCTGAGACAAAAGGTGCATGCTACCATGCCTGCCTAATTTTTTGGTATTCTTTTAGAGATGAGGTCTTGCTATTTTGTCTAGGTTGGTTGTGGATTTCTGGGCTCCATCAATCTTCCTGCCTCAGCTTCCCAAAGTGCTGGAACTACAGGCATGAGCCATTGTGCCCGGTCTTCTAGACATTTTAGAACACACAGAACTCTTCTAGGCCCAGGACATATAAACATGAATGAGATCTATTCTCTTTTTCCAGGGGCCTCTTAGTCAAGTGAGGGAGACAGATTCTTAAGCAGACAATGGTAATGCAAGTGGTAAGTGAAGCCATAGAGACTGGCATGAAGCATGAGGAAGTAAACAGCAGGGGCACCTAGCTGAATCTAAGGTGAGTGTGGACATGGGCAAGCTCTGAAAGGTATTTAGGGATGAATAGGAGTTCACCAGGAGAAGGAATATAAGATGCAGTGGGAGACAAGGCATTCAAGGCATAATAGAGAGTAAGTAAAAAGGAATAGTGGGCCAGAAAGAGCAAAAGGGAATATTAAATTACAAACAAAAAGTGGTTGGAGAAGAGGGCAGAAGTCAAAATCACAAAAAAGTCCTGTTTAGTATCATGTATAAGATAATCCCCTGGGGAGTAGAAAGAAATTACAAACACTTCTACAGATATCTGTTTCTGAAATAGAAAATGCAGTATGAAACAAACTCTGTGGCTCTCCTACTGTCTGCATGGTGGACAGTCACAGGTCCCCTTCAGTACAAATGGGAGGGTTGGGGTGTTATAATCAACAGACACTCAGAAAGTGACACGTGGTTTTATGAGATTTCTAAGAAACCGAGATTGAGGCCACAGTTGACCCTAGAACAACACTGGCTTAAACTGCCTAGGTCTACTCACACACAGATTTTCTGCCACCCCTGAGACAGCAAGACCAATTCCTTCTCTTTCTCCTCCTCCTCCTCAGTCTACTCAACGTGAAGACCACAAGGCCTTTATGATGATCCACTTTCACTTAACAAAGAGCAAATATGTTTTCTCTTCCTTATGATTTTCTTAATAGCATTTTCTTTCCTTTTTTCTCTCTTTCTTTTTCTTTTCCTTTTTTTTTTTTTTTTTTGAGTTGGAGTCTCACTCTGTTGCCCAGACTGGAGTGCAGTGGCCGCTCCTGGCCACCGCAGCCTCGACCTGCTGGGCTCCGGCGATCCTTCCGTCTCAGCCTTCCAAGTAGCTGGAATTACAGGCATGCGCTACCACGCCCGGCTAAATTTTTTGATTTATTGTAGAGATGAGGTCTCGCTGCCCAGGTGGGTCTCGAACCCGCGGGCACAGGCAATCCACTCATTTCAGCCTCCCAAAGGCGCGGGATTACAGGCTGAGCCACCGAGCCTGGCTTCTTTTCCTTTTTTTTTAAGTTATGGTCTCACTTTGTTGCCCAGGATTAAGGGCAGTGGCACCACCACGGCTCACTGCAGCCTCTAACTCCTGGGCTCAAGTGATCCTCTTGTGTCAGACCCCCATGTAGCTGGGACTACAGGCATGCACCACCATGCCTGGTTAATTTAAAACATTTTTATTTTGTAAAGACAAGGTCTCACTATTTGTCTAGGGTGGTGTTGAACTCCTAGGCTCAAGTAATCCTTCTGCCTCGACCTTCCAAAGTGCTGAGATTACAAGCGTCAACAACCACTCCAGCTAATAATGTTTTCTTTTCTCTAGCTTACTATATTGCAAGAATACAGTATAAAATACATATAACATACAAAATATATGTTAATTGGTGGTTTATGTTATCAGTAAGGTATCTGTTCAACAGTAGGCTGTTAGGAGTTAAGTTTTAGGGGAGACAAAAGTTATATGTAGATTTTTGATGGCATTAGGGTTTGATACCCAGGACCTCACATTGTTTAAGGGTCAACTACAACAGCGTTACACAGATTCTCTCTCTTTCTCTACATACAATACACACACGTATGCACACATATAACAACAAACTGGTACAGCTAACATTTCTGCTCTCAGTGCAAACTCTTCATATGACACATTGGTAGGACTTTAAAAAGTCATATCATCATAAAAAACACCGCCTATCGATATGACTAAATATTAATTTTTTAGGGAGAGTTAAAACATTTTTGGCAACTGAAATTCTAAAAGCATCTTAAATGTTTTCTTTCACCTTAAAACTTACTTTGGAGTGTGTACCTTTTATATTATACACAATATATTAGTATATATACACATTATAGATACATAAATATATTACAAGTATTTGCTTGGACATTCTCGTGTAAAAGGATCTGTGACCAAATGCACGAAGACCACTGCTGGGGACAGTGGGAGCCACAGAAAAAGCTGAGAGAGACGGTGGGATTTGTGCAATGGTGAGATTTGTGAGCTGGTGTTGATAAAGGTCGGGGAAAGCAGGGCAGGACAGGAGACACCAGTCCTCCTCATTCAGGCAAGAGATGATAAGTGTTGCATTAAGAAAGAACAGAGATGTGAAAGATATTCAGAAGGTTAAATGGACAGCAATTAGTGATTTGGTGCCAGACCACAAACTCCATGAGGGGCCCGTTCTGGGTTTGATTCACCAACTATCATTTCCAAAGCTACTGTGTGTGTTCTCATAAATGTGTGTTGACTGACTGAATAGCTGCACATGAGGTGTAGGAGAAGTCAGGAACAGCAGTGGCCTCCCTGCCGTGGCAGCTTGGGCAGCTGGCAGTGGCGCCACCTTGGAAGAGAAGCAAGAGGTTCCGAAGCTACAGACAGGAGAGGTCTACCTCAGACCATTTCAGAGCTGGTCTCTTTATTGAAATGAAAGCAGCAAAAATCCAGAAAGGGAACTGTTATACATTTACGCAACAATAAAAATCAACATGTAGAAAAGATGTGATTGCAATATTATTTATCTGAAAATGAGCTCTGATGGAGACATAAACATATCACGATAAACTTTGGTTAAGGAAAAAGCATCCATTAGATACAGATTATTAACTTAGAAAGGAGAGAAGGGGAGAAAAGGCAATCCCTACACATATTTTCAGTCTATCAATGCTTTTTTAAAAAGATAAATTCACTCAATTGTATAATATGACTATATTTTAGACAACAGCAGGTAAATTTTATTTTTCAGGATGAATTAAAACATTTCACATGTGAAATTTAGTGTTAGGTAAAGGGACAAATACACTCAAGGAAGATATTCTTGTTTGTTTTGTTTTTGAGTTGAAGTCTTACTCTGTCACCCAGGTGAGAGTGCAGTGACAGGATCACAGTTCACCACAACCTTGACCTCCTGGGTTAAGATAAACCTTCCACTTCAGTTTCTTAAGTAGCTGGGACTGCAGTGTGCACACCACAATACCCAGCTAATTATTTTATTTTTGGTAGAGGGGATGTCTTGCTGTGTTGTCCACGGTGGTCTCAAACTCCAGCAATCTTCCTTTCTTGGCCTCTCAAAATGTTGGGATTACAGGCATGAGCCACCACACCCAGCCAAGGAAGGTTTTTAAAGTGAAGACAGACAAATTCATAGATGGTGAGAGAAACTAGTAAATGCTTTCCAAACTTGCCCTGATATGCTTGGCACATAGACGCACTTACTAGTGATTTTTAGACGGAAGAAGGAAGGAGAGAGGGAAGTAGGAAGGGAGAAAGGAAGAGAGGAAGAGTAGAGGGACAGAAGAAGGAAAACAGTAAATAATTCTACTAGGAAGGAAGAAAAGAAGGGAAAGAATGAGGGAGGAAGGGAGAGTAGAGGGAAGGAGGAGAAAAGAAAGAGAGGAGGGAGGAAGAAAGGAATTCTACAGTTGCATCATTGTGTACTCTGATTGTGATAAAATAATGGATATGTCTGCTATAGCTTGCAACTCTTACATTCACAAGATCCTGAATCACTGAGATATATGATGCTTCCTTTAACCAAATTCTGTAAGACAGAGAACTGAGTGTTATATTTTGGCCACTAGCAAATACAATGTCCCACATGGAATTATTTTATGACCTGGAAGAGGTCTTTAGTAGATGGTACGCGTTTTCAATATTGTAGGTTCAATTCACTCTGTGTAGATATTAGTGGTTATGAAAAGCAAAGGTCTTATTTCTGCTCTCTAAGAAAAACATAAAAATTATGAGAAGAGTAAAAAGACAACTGCTCCAAAATTTAATGATTTTCAATTATGCAAAAGCAGCAATAGCAGAGGAAGTGCCACTTTGAGAGTAGACCTAATCTCTGGACTGAATGTGAAATTGCTGTACTTGATGGCATTTTAAAAAGAATGTAGGAGCTGGGCACAGTGGCTTTTGACTGCAATTCCAGCTACTCAGGAGGCTGAGACAGGAGAATTGCTTGTGGTTAGGAGGTGAGGACAAACCTGGGCAACATAACAAGATGCTATTCCAAAAAACATCTTTTTTTAATGAGCTGAGTACAGGAGCAGTCACCCATAGTCCCAGCTACTTGGAAGGCAGAGATGGGAGGATTGCTTGATCCCAGAATTTTAAGGCTGCAGTGAGCTATAATCATACTACTGCACTCCAGTCTGAGCAATAGAGCAAGATGTTGTCTCTTAAAAAAATAAAATACTGTAGAAGAAACTGTATTGGCTGTAACTGAGTAATAGCATTTTGATGTAGACTACACTACCTTGATAACTAATTATCAGCAGGCCTAATTTAAAGAATAACAAGTAAATGTGCTCATCTTTCTTGTATAGAGGCATTAACTTTCTCCAGCTTCAAAGTCCATTGGGTATCCTGCTATTCTGTACTCAATGAATTCCTCCTAAGGAGTTTTCTAGATTTTATAGTTACTTGTGACTTACAGATTATCTATTAAAATATCCTTATAAAGTAGAAGTCTTTTGAAATGCCTCCTTGCCAGAGGATCTGAAGAGTCAATGCCCTTCTGAAAAGTGAGTAATTTATTCCATAATCATGAAAAGGATACGGATATGCTTTTCTCTGATGACTAGTGAGGCTGAGCATTTTTTCATATTCCTGTTGGCTGTTCTTATGTCTTCTTTTGAGTAGTGTCTTTTCATGTCTTTTGCCTACTTTTGAATGGGACTGTTTTGTTTTTTTTTTCCCTTTCAGCATGTTTGAGTTCCTTGTAGATCCTGGATGTTAGGACTTTATCAGATATACAATTGGCAAATATTTTTACCCATTCTGTGGGCTATCTACCAGCTCTCTTGATAGTTTCTTTTGCTTTGCAGAAGCTTTTCAGTTTGATGAGGTCTTGCTTGTCTATCTTATCTCTTATGGCACGGGCTTTTGGGGTTTTGATCAGGAATTGGTTGCCTATTCCAACCTCTGTAAGGGTGTCTTCTGTGTTTTCTAAGAGTCTTATAGTTTGAGGTTTTATGTTTAGGGCTTTGATGTTTGTGTATGGTGATAGGTAGGGGGTCCTGTTTCATTCTTCTGCATGTGGTCAGCCAGTTTTCCCAGCACCATTCACTGAAAGGTTCTTCTCTCCCCAGTGGTTGTTGGTGGAAGCTTTGTCAAAGATAAGTTGGTTGACAGATTGAGGTTTTGCTTCTGGATCTCTCTACTGTTCTTTGGTCTATATGCCTGTTCTTGTACCAATACCATGCAGTTTTGATCAAAACCATATTGAGATACCACCTAATTCCAGTAAGAATGGCCATCATGATTAAAACAAACAAACAAACAGATGCTTTTGAGAATGTGAAGAAAAAGGAACACTTCCGCACTGTTGATAGGAGTGCAAAATAGTTCAACTTTATGGAAAACAGTGTGGCGATTTCTAAAAGAACTAGAAATTGACCTTCCATATGACCCAGCAACTCCCCTACTTGGAATATATTCAGAAGAACTCAAATAATTCTACAAAAAGATATCTATGCGCACATGTTTATTGAAGCACTATTCACAATAGCAAAAACATGGAACCAACCATGCTGCTCATCAAAAGTGGACTGGATTAAAAATATGTGGTACATCTACACAATGGAATATTATACAGCCAAAAAGAGAATGAAATTATGGACTTTGTAACAACTTCAATGGATTTGGAGCCTATAATACACAGTGATCTATCACAGAAACAAATAACTGAGTACCACATGTTCTCACTCATAAGTGGTCCCTGAACACCTAGCACAATCCTACAAGAAAGGGACTGGCCATAGCAGGATTCTGCCAGGGGAGGGACAAGGGGTTGCACATAACATCAATAAGAGTGCCTGATCCCAATCTAGGTGAAGTGAGGTACAATGGGAGGCCCAAACTTCACCTGTATGGATATCATTCACATGCCTGATCCTGACGTGTACCCTACATCTTTAAAATAAAAACTAAAACAAAAAAGAAAGGGCCATGTTTTGCAGACTCTCTGTAGACCATACTACTGGTGGAAAAAAGGAAATATGTTTTTTATATACACAGAAACTTGAGTTCCTCTTCCTATCATAAAGAATAGTTTTAGGAAGACTATTTATGAAAAGATAAAAATGACGCTTTAAAAATATCACAATTACAAGTTGAAGACTTTGATGTACTAAGAATTAATTACGATTTAAAATCTTCTGATTAGAGGGAAAAAGTAATGCTAAAACCAATAGCACTAGAACTTAATGTTAAAAATATTTTAACATAGTGACTAGAGACTGATGCTTACCTCTTCATAAACCTTCTTGGCATTGTCATTATCTCCTATCAAGAGGTATCCCACTCCAAGGTCATTCTTTAAGGAAGTGTCATTGGGGAACAGTTGAACTAATCTCTGTAGGGTAAGCAGGGAACCTCTCATATGACCTGAGTTTATGGAAGAAAATATATAGAAATGAAAACAGAAAACGGATTATGAACAATTTTTTAATGAGAATACAGATTATGAAAGACTATTAGACAGAACCTGAAAACCAGTTTAAATCTGACTTTATATATTAGTGGCTTATTAAGTACCTAGTAGAATTTCATGATGTAGTTGCAATGGTATCAGTGACTGACATAAGTAGATACTGAATATAATATTGATTATAAACATTTTAAAGACATTTTCAATGTCTAAATTCATCATCATTTATCTTTTTAGGTTGAATTCCATATTAAGAAAGATTTAGTTACTAATTCCTTGTTAAAAAATGTTTTCCTGAGATATTTTTGGTTTAATAACTTTAAAATTATGAATAGAGGGTAAACAATAAAAAGTCAAATTGATTTCAGGGTCTAGCACCCTGCATAAAAGTTGAAAAGTTACGAAGGTACTCAGGATAGTATTTAACTGCAGACACATCTTCAGTTAAGTATACTCATCTCTGTCGGTAAAGATTTAGTCATGGAGCAAAGGATGCATCATCCAGTATTATGGGACCCTCTGGTGGACGATAGCATACTATGCACTACATGAATCATGAAAAGAACAGCTTCAATTGATTTTTGAGGCTGACTGATGGAAATTTAAAATTTATGGGCTAATTGTTATTACTCCTTTCCACAGTCGGAAAGACAAACTGTATAAAAGAAAAAGTGCAAAACAAGACTAGCAAACATGAAAACAAAACAAAATAAACAAAAACGAATCACCCACAGGGCTTAGTTGTGCATAAACTCAATATTAGCTAGGATTGTGAATAATAAGCGAATGCCACTGCATACTCCACTAACCAACTAGCTGGCATAAAGCATCACCATCTTACCCCATACCCTTCAACCCCTGGTCAATTGTATTCCAATCAGAACTCCAGTCATTCCCTCACCGACACATCTAAGCTCACTTTTCTATACCCTTCCTTCCCTCTACCTGCCCACCTAGGCTCACCCTCTTCTTTTAAACTTCTCCTATTAGTCACAACAAAGGCACAGATAAAAATCCCTCCTGCAGCCATCTGCTCCCTGCTTCTTCCACTCTGTATTCTGAAACTCTCTTCCAGGTGAGTGAACTTCACCATCTTGAAACTCTCTTCCATGGTGAGTGAACTTCATCATCTTGACATTTTCACCCAAATCTTCTGCCTGCAGTTGCCTTAGTACATCCCCAAGTGAATTTGCCTAATTCTCACACAGAGGAAAGGATCCTATTGAAATGTCGAAGGGTTATTGCAGAAGGGGGTCAGATTTCTCCTTAGGCAGTCTTCTTCCCCAGGCTGGGAAGTAGGCTGAGATGACGGAGACACTTGGGGCAAAAGGTCAGAGGGCGCCAAAAAGTTCATAATTTTCATGTGAAAAATAGATTAATGTACCCTTTTTAAAAAATTGAAATTGATGTAAAACATCCATAATGAACATAATATTAACATTTTAAATGTTTACAGGGTCAGTAAACAGTGCTAAGCAGAGCCATCTTGGAGGCTGATGAAAAAGGAAAACTCAGTAATGCTGACTTGACGTCCATGACAAGTGCCTGCTTTGTCTCCCTGGAGGCCCGGCCCTGCCTCTCCTTCCCGGGACTGCACCCTGTGGACATAAGCCTAATTGGCCATTTCTTATAGTTTTTAGTCATCAGTTGGGCTCTACTCCTATCATAGATTTTGGTCATCTACAAAGGTAACACCATTCCCCTTTATTCTATTCCTCAGAAAACCGTCAGAAGGATCAGTCGGGCCTTGACACTTCCTTATAAGAGTCTCTCCCAAGTGACATTGATAATCTGTCCATGCAGACATCCAGCCAGTGGAGCACTTGCCTCAGCAGTGATTCCTGGCTTAGCTACTTCCCTCCTGGTTGACAATGACATGCTGAGGAGAGAGAGCTACAAGTCTGGTTAATGTGAAGTTAGCTGGCAGCTAGTCTTACTTGCCATTGGCACTGGGAACCTGGGTAAGTCCAGAGAATATCACGTGATATTCTTTTCAAAGCATTTGCAAATTTACTTCATGGTTAAAATTTTACGCTAACCTTTTCCTTAGTGTAGGATAAAATCTTACAAGTAAATTTTCAAAACACCTAACATTCCTCTATAATTTTTTTTCCCTGATAATTTCAACCTCCCTGAATCAGTTTGTTATAGTTAAGAGAGAAAATAATTTGGCATCACAGAAACAGTTTCTGATTCCAGACCTATTAATATATTAGCTATGGGCCTTTAGGCAAATAATCTAAGCTCTCAGCATTCTATTCACCTCACCTTAAAATGGGCGAAAAGCGGGGGAAGGAAAGGTATAAAAATACCATCTGCATCTTTGTAATTATAGGCACACTTTGTTTTATTGTCCCTCGCTTTACTGCACTTTGCAGATACTGCATGTTTTACAAGTTGAAGGTTTGTATTCAGCAAGTCTATCAGCACCATTTTTCCAAGAGCAAGTGTTCACTTCACGTCTCCGTGTCACATTTTGGTAATTCTTGCAACATCTCAAACTTTTTCATTATTATTATATCTGTTATGGTGACCTGTGACCAATGATCTTTGATATTCCTACTGCAATTATTTTGGGACACCACAAACCACACGCATATAAGGTGGCAGAGCTAATCAAGACCTGTATGTTCTGACAGCTCCACCAAGCACATGTGTCTCCATCTCTCTTCCTCTTCTCTGGTTTCCCCATTCCCTGAGACACAACAATGTTGAAATTAGGCCAATTAAGCGTTCACATAAAAGGAAGGGTGGTACTTCCCTCATTTTAAATCAAAAGCTAGAAATTATTAAGTTTAGTGACAAAGGTCTGTTAAAAGCCCAGATAGGCCAAAAGCAAAGCCTCTTGTGCCAAATTGCTAGCCAAGTTGGAATGCAAAGGAAAAGTTATTGAAGGAAATCAAAGGTGCTACTCCAATGAACACAAGAATGGCAAGAAAGTATAACGGCCTTTGTGCTAATACGGAGAAAGTCTGAGTGGCCTGAACAGAAGATCAAATCAGTCACAACATCCCTTAAGCCAAAGCCTAACCTAGAGCAAGGCCCTAACTCTCTCCCATTCTTTGAAGGCTGGAGAGGTGAGGCAGCGGCAGAAAAGAAATTTGAAGCTAGCAAAGGTTGGTCATGAAGATTAAAGAAACCGTCTCCATAACATAAAAATGTGAGGGGAGGCAGCAAGTGTGGACATAGAAGCAGCAGCAAGTGATCCAGAAGATCTAACTAAGGTCACAGATGAAGGAGGCTATGCTAAACATCAGATTTTCAAAGTAGACAAAACTTTGAATGTAGACAAACTACTGGAAGAAGATGCCATCTAGGACTTTCATAGCTAGAAAGGAGAAGAAAATGCTTAGCTTCAAAGTTTCAAAGGATAGGCTGATTCTCTTGTTAGGGGCTAATGTAGCTGGTACCTACACATTGAAGCCAATGCTCATTTGTCATTTTGAAAATCTTAGTGCCCTTAAGAATTATGCCTGTGCATAAAAGGAAATAGAAATAAAGCAAAAAAAAACTGATGACAGCACATCTGTTTACAACACAGTTTACTGATATTATAAGCCCACTGTTGAGACCTACTGCTGAAAAAAGTAGATTCCTTTCAAAGTATTACAGCTCATTGACACTGCATCTAATCACCCCAAAACTCTGATGGAGACATGTTTTCATGTCTGGATAATACACTATCCATTTGTAAATCAAGCAGCAATTTAAATTTTAAAGTCTTATTATTTAAGAAATACATTTCATAAGGTTATAACTGTCATAGATAGTGAGTCCTCTGATAAACCCAGGCTTAGTAAATTGAAAACCTTCTGGAAAGAATCCACCATCATAGATGCCATTAAGAATATTCACATGTTATGAGAAGAGGTCAAAATATCAACATTAACAGGAGTTTGGAAGAAGTTGATTCCAACACTCATGTATTACTTTGAACAGTTCAAGACTTCAATGGAGAAAGTAACTACAGATGAGATAGAAATAGCGAGAAAACCAGAATTAGTCTGAAAATGTGACTGAATTGTTACAATCTCATGATACATGAGATGAGTAGTTGCTTCTTATAAATGAACAAAGAAAGTGGTTTCTTGAAATTTACTCCTGGTGAAGATGTTGTAAACATTGAAATGACAACAAAGGATTTAGAATATTACACGCACATAGTTGATAAAGCAGTGGCCGGGTTTGAGAAGATTGTCTCCAATTTTGAAAGAAGTGTTACTCTGGGTAAAATGCTATTAAACAGTATCACATGCTACAGAGAAATCTTTTGTGAAGGGAAGAGTCAATCAATCTGGCAAACTTTCATTGTTGTCTTATTTTAAGAAACTGCCACAGCCACCCCAAACTTTAGCAATCTTCACCCTGATTAGTTAACAGCTATTATGACTCACTGTAGGGACAGATGATCATTAGCATTTTTGAGCATAAAGCATTTTTAAAACTAAGGTTTACACATTTTTAAAGACACATTATTGCACACTTAATAGATTACAGTGTACTGGACACATAACTTTTATGTTTACTATACATGGGAAAACCAGAAAAATCATGTGACTGGCTTTATTGTGGTGGTCTGGAACTGAACCTGTACTATCTCTAAGGTATGCCTGTTAGAATTGCTATATCAGTTTTAGAGATGGTCAATTGAGGACACAGGTAAATTACTTGAAATTAGTTATAAAACTCAGGTGTCTTCCCATGTAACTTAACTCTCCTAAGAGTATGCGTGACCCTTAGGTTCTTCAAGATAAAAGCATGCCATTTCCTATTGAATTAACTCTTACTGCACCTTACCCACCTAGAAACTGTTGTCTGTCTGAGCGCCGCTTCAAAGTCAGCTTCAGCAGGTCTGCAGGGACATCAGGCAGGCTGGCCACCTCTTGGTACGTCTCGATGGCCCCACGCAGTACCTCATTGCTCCTCCTCTTCTCAGCCAAATCATCTTCACACTAGAAGAAGCCCCAGACTGCATAAATGTCCCCTGACTATCTATATGGATAATTTTTCTTAAAAAGCTCACTTTTAGAAATGCTTTAAAAGAAATTCAAGACATTAACCTTTTATCTTATTAAGATATATATATTTTTTAAGCTGGGCATGGTGGCTCACACCTGTAATCCCAGCACTTTGGGAGGAGAAGGTGAAAAGATTGCCTGTACCCAGAGTTTGAGACCAGCTTGAGTAATCAGCAAGACCTTGTCTCTACAATAAAACAAAAAATTAGCCAGGCACGATGGTGTGTGCCTGTAGTTCTAGCTACTTGGAAGGCTGAGGTGGAAGGATTGCCTAAACCTAGCAGGTTAAGACTACGGTAGCCATGAGAGTGCCACTTGCACGCCAGCCTGGGAGACATAGTGAGACTCTGACAAAAAAAAAAAAAAAAGGAAAAAAAAAAAGAAAATTTAAAAATAACAAAAAAAGGGAAAATAACTATTTTAATAATATAAAAAAGTTTGTTACTAAACTAGAGATGAGAAAGAAGACTATAAAAGCAGAACAAATGCACAGTAGAGTTGATAGAGATTTATATCCTATAAAACACTAGAATTATGTAGGCAGGATTCCAGTCCAAGTTTCTCTTCTTTCGTTAATTTATCCATTCATTCAACAATTATTTTCTGGGAGGAAGTGGCAGGCAAATATGTTCTACAAATGTTCTACAAATGTGGCAGACAAACTGGACATAACAGACAAAGCCCTTATCTCATTTTGTCTTCATTTTGTAAAGGAGAGAAAAATAATAAATAAATGATTAAAGATATTTGTCTGAGGGCCATAAGTACTAGATAAAAACAAAGCAGTCTCAAGAGTGCTTGGTGGAGTGCTAAGAAGTTGCTAGTTTAATCAGGAGGATTAGGGAGGGCCTGAAAGAAGAGAGGAAGCAAGTTATGAAGATACTTGGGGAAAGAGCGTTTCAGGCAGAGAGAAGAGCAAGAGCAATGGCTCTGAGGGGGCAGTGAGGAATTGAGGAGAAGCCCTTGGAGTGTGGGCAGGAAGGGGAAGACGAACAGGGGCCACCACGTGATAGGGCCTGGGAAGCTACTGCCAATTCTACTACACTAAGATGGAAAGACACTGGGGGGTTCTGACATGATCTGATGTATGTGCTGAAGGGAGCGTGCTGGAAGCAATATGGAGAACAGACTGAAGGGCTGTGAGGAGAAGCAGAGAGCCTAGGTAGGATACTCTGGCAGGAAGGCAGGAATCCAGACACGGAATGATGTTGGCTCGGACTAAGGTCACAGTAATGGTGGTGGTAAACACTGGCTGGATTAAAAAGAAAAAAAAAACTGGTTGGATTATAGACACATTTTGAAGGTCAGAGTCAACAGATTTGCAGATGGTTTGGATGTAGGGTATGAGAGAAAGGGAGAAAGAGAAGCCAAGGATGACATCAAGGTTTTTGGCTTCAGTGATTGCTGGATGAACTGTCATTCCCTGAGAATGGGTGGACAAGACAGAAGCAGGTTTGTGGGGAGTGTGGAATTAGTTCAGATTTGGGCATATTAAATCTCAAATGCCTATTATATATCCAGGTGAAGTTATTGACTAGGAACGTGGCATATTTGGTCTGGAGTTCAGGAGAGAGGTTAGAGTTAGAGACGTGTTAAGGAATCATCAAACACAGAGATGGTATTTAAAGCTAGGAAGCTGGAAGCAGATGAGTGCAGACAGAGGAAAGAAGAGGCTCAAGAACTGAACCTTAAAGAACTTCAATATTTCAAGGTCATTAGAGATCAGGAAGACAAGGGAGGACTAGCAAAAAGGGTGAGGTACCAGAGTAGATCAGGTTCAAGAAAACATGGGAAGGAAAGAGGTAGGTATAATTCTTTCAAGGAGTTTCACTGGAAAGAGCAGAGAAATGCCATCCAGTAGAGGGCAATGTGGAGACAAGGGAGAGCTCTTTTTTTGAAAGAAGAAAAGATTTATTTAAGAAAAGTTTACCCCCCACAGACAGGAAGCGGGCCTAGACTCTAGATGAGTGTGGCCCCATAGCCCCCTGAGTCCTGGCTTAAATCCTTTCCCTTGGAGGTGTTGCAATCAGATAGATGTGATTTCCTTAACTTCCTTATTGACCACCTGCGAATGTCTTGGAGACCCTGTGACACAGACCTACTAATGTCTGTCCATATTATCACAGCCCCTAGAGAAGGGCAGGACAAGGATTCTAGTGTTCCTGTACCTTCCTGAACAACCTTAGAACTAATGGAGGGGGCATGGGAGGTGACTCACGGCTTTTGTAAAGGGAGTTTACAAGGTCTAAGACTTCAAGCATTAGGCATAAGTTAAGCAAATCACAAAACTTGTGATTACAAAAGTTATGCAGATCACAGGACTTGTGACCGCTCAGAAGGGGGAGTGGATGGGGATTCCATCTTCCAGTAAATTGCGTGCTGTCTACAGGGAAGTCAAGGATTCCCCAAAGCTGCCCGCTAGGAATGCATAGGAGCTAAGGATGGGAAATAGCACACCATGTTTCCAAGCAGATGCAAAAGATCCAGTAGAGAGGAAAAATCTGATGACACAGAAAGGGACACAAAAATGAGAGTGATGTCCTTCAGCAGGTGAGAGAGGAACAGGGACTGAAGTATTTATTTGTGCTAACAGGAAGGAAGACAGAGCATATGTGCACAGGTGCAGACAGGCTGTTAGCGCAGTGGAGGGATCAGGCGGAAATTCTCTGAATTCTCTACTTTCAGAATGAAACAAGAACCAAGATTCTCATCTGGAAACTGAGAATGAGAGGTGAAATACTGGAGACAGGAAGAGAGAGAAGAATGTGTAAAATGGTCAACAATATCTCATCAGATCTAGTAGACTACAATCTGAAGATTATGATTGGAGGACAAATGATACCAGCTCAATAATGAAAGGAACATACATATATTTTTTCTTAGAATTTTTTAACATGCTTACTTATTTAACACGTTTGCCATGTTAAAATGTGTCATGTAGCCAATATACAGACATCTGCAGAAACAGAATAAAGCATCACCCTACAATTTGGGGGCGTAGGGAAAAAAAAATTCCATCCCCACCCTACCCAAAGCAAAACAAAACAAAAAAAACCAAACTAATAAGAATCAGGACAAATTGGTAAAATAAGATATCTGTAGGATTTTCTTCAGAAAAATAAGATATCAACGAAATGACTTGGTAATATACACTGATTAGGATAAATTTCCCAAGATAATGAGGGCTGGAATTGAAGCAGTGGTGATAGAAGTAGACAGATTTATAAAAAAGGAAAATTAGTAGAACAAAAATCTCCAGATTAGAAAAAGGCAATTCACTTGGCTTAATGAAAATGTGCTTCAGACCATTTCAACTATCTTTTGAAATCTGTAAGTAGTCTTCAGAATAGACTTATCTAGCAGCGGAGGAAGTCCAGTGTCAAAGACTCATATTGATCATGATGCTAGCATTGCCTTGAATCATATATTCATTTGCTAACTTTCTGTTTAGGCATCAGCTTCTTGTGAGATTGGTTATGCTGTGCTAGCTCCCCAGAACATGAACATCTGATAGATAACTTCAAGGAAACATACAACACTAGAGCTAAGAGTCCTTTTGAAACCAACTATAGATGCTCCTTGACTGACAGTGTTATGTCACCAAATGTCTATTGTAAGTTAAAAATTTCATAATCCAAAAATGCATTTAACACACTTGCATTTAATACACCTGCTGAACATCATAGCAGCACAAAGTATGCAATAAATCATGTATTTCATTGAATACTATATGGCAATGGAGTTTCTATCGAATGTGTACCATTTTTTGTACCAGGATAAGGTTGAAAAGTTAAATCACCATAACCTAGTTACCATCTGTAATTCATCCTCCTCATTTTGAACCTACAAAAAGTACCCAAATAGATCCTGGAACTGGAGGTCTCTGCAGGGTTAGTGAAAGGACAAAAGCCTACCAAGGTAATCCTTCTTTATAGAGACTGGAATAAATATTTTTAACTAAATTCAATCTGAAAAGAGAGAAAGGTGATGCTATTTATTCCAGGGTCCTTTGTTTTAATAAAGTATAAACATTTTACAACTCCCAGAACTGGGAAAAGTATCATTACTAAAATGGCACATAATTCTTTAAAATCTCCTGAATGAAACTGATAGACACTTGCACTGAAAATCAAAATTGTACAGGCTGATTTTTATCAGTTTACTATCTGTAGATAAAAAGAGCTGAGCTGAAACTGAACATTTGTTACAGGACGTTAACATTGCAAAGCCTTTTGTTGACTCTAACTAATTCACCCATCCAGCATTTCTAGGAGATGTGTCATTTTCTGCCTCAAAGGCATTAATGGTGTGTGAAAGATGATAAAGTGAATTGAGTTTCTAATTCAAGATTTTGTGTTTGATGCTCAGGGAATTTGATCAAAATTGATTTTCAGTGATCCAAAGAATAAGACAATATCAGTGCGACTTTAGGAATGATAGATACTGCAATTTATATATGATTTAATGTTGCTAAATTTTTAAAACTTGTTGAAATATTTCAAAGTAATTATTTAGTCTGCTAACAAAGAATGAAAAAGTAATAATTTATTCCTTCCCATAAAATCCATCTTCTGTTGAATTTTTAGTTTTAAAACTCCTATGAATTTAAAGATTCCTTTAAATTACTCTATCAAAATTAAATTTACCATGCCTAAATTTTACTTTATATCACACTAATGTTAATATCAATAACACCTTGCAGCATTATAGCTTAGAGATAAAAGATGTTGCTTGAAGTCTAATTCTCAAATTCCTATTGTGAAATAAGGATACACAGTCATCCTTCAGTAGATCTGGGTTATGCATTCCAGACCATCACTCCACCCTGCCCCCAGATATCAAAGTCTGCAGATACTCAGGTCCTTGACATAAAATGAACTAGTATTTGCATGTAGCCTGTGCACATCCTCCCATATAATTTAAGTCATCTCTAGATTACTACAAAACTAGATATTATGTAAATTCTGTGCAAATAATTGTTATATTGTATTGTTTTTACTTATATTATTTTTTAGTGTTGTAGTGTTATTTTTATTGTTTTTCCAAATATTTTCAATCTGTGATTGGTTGAATCCACAGAAATGGATACAGAGGGCTGACTGCAAATTCAGCAATCACTCTGTTTCAAAAGCACTGCATTTATTTAGACTTTGGTACTCACAATCAATATTACATATAAAGAAAAATTCTAAAACATAAAACATTTTTGCCATAATTAAATTAGTGTTTGCATAATCTATTTTTCTCTCTAGTTAACATGCTTTACTTAATCAAATGACTTAATACTAGTGACAAAACACATCACTTCTTTGAATAGCCATGATATGTTGGTAACAAACATATTCTTAGTCATCATAAAATTTATCAATTTTAGAAGATGATTGACCAAATTCATTTATAATAATCATACAATTGCTATCTGCTAAACTTGGTCTGTATCATGGCTAAGAGAAACTTATTTGCATTAGTTTTTCACAAACTTAATTAAAATTGACAACAAAAACTATTTAATTACTCTTTAACAGTTCTATAGGAAGACAATATCTAGACCTCAAGGAATTACGTGACCTTAAGTTCAGAGCAGAACATGCTTCTTTAAATCTACAGATGTGTTCAATTCTGTGTGTGTCGTGCACAGGTGCCTGCATGGACCTTCTCCAATGTTGTCAGCTTCTCCTTGGACTGGAAATTTCTGTAGCTCTGAATCTGTTTCTCAGCAGGGTTGACAATCTTGTCCCCTCAGGCAAGACTGCAGGATCTTTACTGCCTGACACATTTGTATATCCAGCCCTGGCTTTCACTCTGAGTTCCAGCCTCCCCAAATCCAGCAGTCTACGTGGCAGGTCCACCCGAACGTCTTATGGGAATCACACACTTAATAAAACCAATAGCAAACTCCGGATTTCTGCATCTCTCCAAACCTGTTCTTCCTGGTCAGGAACTGGCACTACCTTCTCCCCAACAGACCAAACCAAAACCCAAGAGTCAGCCTTGAGACCTCTTTTTCTGATGTTTCCAGCTAATTCATCCTCAAATCCTTCCAGCTCCATCACCTGCCCACTTCTCCCATCTCCATGGCCATGACCACAGTCCAAGCCACTAGCGTCTCTTGTGACTGCTGTAACAGTCAAAAGACTACTGTAAACAATAACTTCCTATTCTTGAATCTTCTTTTGTCTTCATAATCCATTCTCTACCCAAGAACCAAAGCAATCTTTATAAACACACACACACACACACACACACACACACACAGTCACACCCATGCATAAAACCCTCCAATGGCTTCCCATTGCATGTAAAATAAAACCTATAAGGATTCGACCTCCTTTGCACCCTCACTCCCCAGCATGTCCCTCTTTCTGTCTTTGGGTTTATTATGTCAAGATTGTTTCCCTGCATCACAACAGCCTTCGTCTTGCTGCTCCCTCTACCTGGACAGCTCCTTCCACAACCTCCTCACATCTCAGCCACCTTGCCCCACTAGAGGGGATTCTTCTGACCACTTTATCTAAAGTGCTGTCTGTCCTGTCATTTTCTATCACATTCCCTCCAGCCAAAAAATGTGAATAGGTATGTTCTCTATTCCATTACTTTCTCTTCATTTCTTGTTTTTTTTTTTGTTGGAGTCTCACTCTGTCACCCAGACTGGAATGCAGTAGCCGCCCCCGGCCACTGCAGCCTCGACCTGCCAGGCTCCGGTGATCCTTCCGCCTCAGCCTTCCAAGTAGCTGGAACTACACGCGCGCGCTACCACGCCCGGCTAATTTTTGATTTATTGTAGAGATGAGGTCTCATCAAGTTGCCCAGACGGGTCTCAAACCCGCGGGCTCAGGCAATTCACTCACCTCAGCCTCCCAAAGTGCTGGGATTACAGGCTGAGCCACCGAGCCCGGCTCTCTTCATTTCTTTACAACATGTATTATTAGGCCAGATCATCTAATATTTATTTATTTATTTATTTATTTAGGTATGTATGTATTTTTAAATTTTTTTTGGAAGATGTATAGTACAATTCAGGGTTAGGTATCCAAATTATGTAGGTATCCTTGTTGATGAGGTGTGTCCCTCCCTCTGCTGGTAGTTTCCCTCAACTGCCAATCCCACTGCCAATCCATTTTTTATAGTATTATAATAATTATTCAAGGTCTGCTTATGAGTGAGAACATTATCTAATATTTATTTTTAACACTCTACAACATTCTTTAAGTATATATTATTTACAAAGACTTTCAGGTCTTTGCTCAAATGTCCCCTCCTTGGTGAGACCTTTCGCGGCCACCCTTCCCTCCTCAGTCCCTTCAGATGCCCAATGATTGTTCCCTGCTTTGGTTTTGTTCTCCTTAGTACTTATCACTAGCAAGCATATGTATTTCACTTATTTATCTACTCATTGCCTTCCCATTTACCCTGGAAATTCTGTAAGGGTGGGGTTTTTAAAATATGTTCTGTTGTTAATGGCTGTATATCTAGAATAGGGCTAGAACAGGGCTGGCCCGTAGTGGGCTCTCCCTAAAGAATTTTTGAGTAGTTTAAAGAGTGTCTTCCACTGGAATATAAGATCCACAAGAACAGAAACCTCTAGAATGTTCATTTTATTACACTGTAAATATTTTTAAGTTTTCTATATATTATGATTTGACATCTTAAAAAAAAAAACACCTCTCCAGCTGGAAAGCTAACCAATTCTGAGACAGCAAGTGCTCAGCCAGGAGCAAGCATGTGATATGCAAATGAACCAATCCAGAGGCATACCTCCTCTATCTGACCCAAACACCCCAGGAGACAATATTCCTCTGCGTAGTCATTCCAGGGCCAGGTGCTAGGCAAGTAGGAATCAGTCCTATAGTCCAAACTCGGCTGAAATGATTCGAACTAGTCAATCCTAAACTGTTTACCCTGTCCTCCCTTTCCATTCCCATGGAAACTTCAATAAAGACTCTGGCCTAAACCTTCTTCTTGCTCTTGTCTTCTGCCTCTTGACCACCTGGGGGTCTTTCTCATGTAGCCCCACATGGCATGCCAGGTTTCCTGTCTCTAGGATCTGTGAGTATAATAAATTTTGCTTTTTCCTAAGCCCCTTCTGCATCCCCTCTTATGGGCTGCACCTGACTGAACATCTCATATAAGAATACACAACAGATATTCCCATGGCCAAAAACAGTACCTGGCACATGGTGGGTTTACACAGTTACAAGTGAATATGAACAAGTTCATGATAGGAAAAACTGGAAATTGGAAAAACTGGATAAGAAAGGAAATGATGGGGGATGGGTATAAGGTAGTTAGTAAGAAGTGAGTCAGTTAAAACAAAATATAGAGAAAACAAATCACATTCCACTTTACACTTTAACAAAGCTTTTCCTAAGCATGCTTGCAGACTTTAATCTTAAAACTGCAACACTGAATGCTCTGAGGACCTTCAGGCGAAAACTGTGTGGTGGAACAGGACACCAGGTAATGGGAAATCAATGACAAACTTGTTACTCTTTATTTTCTTTTTAAAATGAGAGAGAAGTCATCTGGAAGGGGAGCAGAAAAAAATGTTACTAAATTCAGCAGCATGCAATAGCAATAATTAATTATCCTATTTAAGACTATTTCTTGCTTGAGTTTATGCATATACATGAGAAACTGATTCTGTAAAGAAATTAGAAGAGGAAAAGAGAAAATGCAAATAGTGGGGAGTGAAAAATCCAATTACACAGAACACATGAACATCAAACTAATTTTCCAAGTAGAAGGGTTTTAGAATACCTGTGCCTTCCCATATCTTGCTCGTGGACTCTGAGGGTATTTGCGTACAAGTTCTTTAAATGCATTCACTGCTTCCTCAGTTTTTCCCTGTTAGGAAGTCATAATTGCATAAACAGAATTAGCTCAAAGGCATAATGTTATACAATATGGTTATTTAATATTCACCAAGTACTTGTGTCAAAATTTCCTAGATTCCATTCTGAGTTTAAAGGTAGTTTCATTTAAGATTTTTTTTAAAACAACAACATTGCATTAAGGCAAACAAAAAAATTAGAAAGGAACATAAATACACTTCATTTTATTTTTTTTGTTGGAGTTTCACTCTGCCACCCAGGCTAGAATGCAGTGGCACATTCACGGCCATCCCAGTGTTGACCTGCTGGGCTCCGGCGATCCTTCCGCCTCAGCCTTCCAAGTAGCCAGAACTACAGGCGTGCGCTACCACGCCTGGCTAATATTTTAATTTATTGTAGAGATGAGGTCTTGCGAAGTTGCCCAGGCTGGTCTCGAACCCGTAGGCTCAGGCAATCCTCTTGCCTCAACCTCCCAAAGTGCTGGAATTACAGGCTTGGGCTACTGCACCCTGGCCTTAATTAATTTTTAAAAAGATAGACACCTGGCAGTGCGGTTTCTTTCACCCATGCCAGCTCTGGCATGTTTCCCTTTCTTTCCCCTTTTCTTTCTCTAATAAACTTTGTTTTGAAACTTTAAAACTAACTAACTAACTAAATAAATAAATAAATAACAAAACAGACACCTGATAAATTATATGTATTTTTTGTTGAGGAAATTGCATTTCCTCCTATGTATGTAATTCTCACCTGTATTTTCAAAGAAGATATCTAGATTTTAGTGTGTGTAAGTGGAGGGGAAATACCCCTGGCAGCTCCAATGTCTTGAGTCTTTGAGAAACAATAAGACATTGTATCAAAGCTTTGAAGTATCTGTTAAAAGGATGTGAAATAGACATGCGGACTGCAAGGGCCACTTGGCCATAATACCCATTGCCCATGGAATGTCAGGGCTCATGTGGCTCATCAGCTGACTGGTGTCCATCACTGCCTCTGTGTCATGTGACTCACCCCAAAGCTCACAAAGGTCCTGAAGAAGACAGTCCAAGTGCCTTCAATAGGATGCTGACCACTAATGAATGGAAAGAAACAGAGGTTGTGTAACAGGTAGATCTGGCACTGGGGGAAGCACCCTCTTTACTGGAACCACTTCACTACATCCAATGCCATTCCACAGCATTAAACAAATGTCACCTTGTTTCTAAGGTCAGGCATGTCAAGAATATTGGGAACCATGAAATGGAGACAGATTTTCAGAACTGAACCTTCCCAGATAATTCAGCTCTCTAGAAATTGTTGAATTCATTTCACAATGTAAATGAGAGCTCACTGTGATTTATGTTTTGACTGTCACTGAGTTTTCATTCAACAAATTGTACCTCACAAATATGGCTGTGTAAAGCAGACTGTAAAGTACTATCCAAATGTTATTTACACCTACTTCTGAAAGACTTGACTAAATATTGGGGAGACGGGTAATATCCACATTAAAGTTCCTTAAGATCATTCCTTTAGGAAGATATTCAAGAGTGAGAATTTCTATTCCCTCTCATACACCGTAAGTGATCCTGAGGGGCTAGTGGAAAATACATGTGCAGTGGTTATGCGTGCACATGTCAGACTGACTGGTTTATATTGAAAAGGCTAGATATAGGCCAGGCTCGGTGGCTTAGCCTGTCATCCTGAGCCTTTGGGGGATTGAGGTGAGTGGATTGCCTGAGCCCGCGGGTTTGAGACCCGCCTGGCAACTTGGCAAGACCTCATCTCTACAATAAATCAAAAATCAGCCGGGCATGGTAGTGCGTGCCTGTAATTCCAGCTACTCGGAAGGCTGAGTCGGAAGGATCGTCGGAGCCCAGTGGGTTGAGGCTGCGGTGGCCGGGAGCGGCCACTGCACTCCAGTCTGGGCGACGGAGTGAGACTCCAACTCAAAAAAAAAAAGAAAAGGTTAGATATGATAACATATATAAAGTGCTTATGGACACTGCAGAGACCATAGGAAGTATTGAACAATGTCAGCTATTATTATTATGGCATGTGTGCAAGGCACAAGACAATGGGGTCTGTCACAGTAAGTTTCTCACCTGATAGAAAGGCAGCTTAATGAAAAGAGAATAAGAACTTGCCTGCAGAGATAACTCAAGCCAGGAACACATACTCTAAGTTTAATTTATTGGCATCATTATTTGCATCGCTGTTTAAAATATATTGTTCCTCTCACAATATGAAATTTAAAAGCCACGATTTTATTTTGTCTGTGAATAATTTACAGGGGTGTTGAAGAATTTATGTCAAAAGTCTTTTTCTGTGTAACTTTCTTATAAATACCCTGGTATTAGTTTCTAGTAACTGTTGTTAACAAATTGATATAAAATTGGTGGCTTAAATAAGCAAGAGAAATTAATTCTCTCACAATTTTGGAGATCAGAAGTCCAAAACCAGTTCCACTGGTCAGCAAGGCTGCATTTCCTTTGGAGTTTTTAGGGGGAGAGCCCATTCCTTGCCTCATTCAGTTTTTGGTAGCTGCTGGCATTCCTTGGTCTGTGGTGGCATCCATTCAATCTCTGTCTCCATCTTCATATTACCTTCCTCTCTTTATATTTTCTTTCCTTCTATCTATATCTCATTTCTGTTTGCCTCTCTCTTGTAAGAGCACATTCAGAGCCCAACTAGATGATCCAGTAAGTAAGAACTTTAACTAAATCATACCTACAATGACCCTCTTTCCCATTAAGTTAACATTTATAGGGATAAGGTGTGATTATCTTGTGAAAGCCATTTTTTAGCCTACCAGAGTATACTCTTTGGCTCCCCAAATGCATATCTGTCACATATGCAAAATATATTCACCCTATCTCAACAGCTCCCAAAATCTCAAGTCACTACGTATCAACTCAACTCTAAAATCTCATCAGCGCCAAAGTCCAATAATCAAAATTATCAAAATCAGGCATGGTTGAGATTATGGTTAAGATCCATCCTGAGGCAAAAATTCCCTTTATCTTTGGGCCTATGAAACTAAAAAACAAGTTATCAGCTCCTAAAATATGCTAGTAGGATAATCATAGGATAAAATGTATAGACATTCCTATTGCTAGAGGGAGAAAATGGAAGGGAGAAAGAAATCACTGGTTTCAAGTTTCAAAATCCAGGCAGACAAATTCCATTAGGTGTTCAGGGCTGGGAGTAATCCTCTGTGCCATGAGGCCCTACCCCTGGGTCCTTGTTTCTGAAGATTGCACCCTTGTCTCTGGCCTCTGGGTTCAAGGTTCTGCCCTTAAGAGTTATCCTTCTTTTCTACTGAAAGGGTAGTACCAGTTTGCAGCTGATTCATTTCATCAGTCTGTTTTGGAAATGTTGCAGACTTCTTTAATGTTGTTCTGTCATTGTCTCTTTCAGTCCAAGCTGGGAGTGCTTCTGCTGATATAATATTCTCAAAAAACTCTGGGTCTTTTGTGTGTATCACAGGGATTAACACCATTAGGTAAGAATCACCTCCACAGTGCCTTCCTGTATAATCTCATCTCTATTCCTGACTTCTGCTGAGATGGTCAAATGTATCTAAGAGTCACAAACCTACTGTCTTCAAGAAAGGGATGTCCAATCCCTCCCTTACACTTCTCTCCAGGGTACACTTTCCTAATAGTGAAGTTCCTAATTTTAGCATCTTCTACAATCTGCATAGGTTGAGATATTTCCAAATTATCAAGTGCTAGTTCTTTCTTCCTTACCAGTTCCTTCCTCAATTTATCTTTTTCCCCTCATATTTTACTATAAGCAGCAAAAAGAAACCAGGTCACACCTTCAACACTTTGCTTGGAAATCTCCTTAGCTAAATATTCAAGTTTCTTGCTTATAAGTTCTATTTTCCATATACTAATTGTAAAACACATTCAGATATGTTTTCTGCCACTAAGCAACAAGGAACACCTTTCCTATAGTTTTCAATATATCCCTCATTTCCTTCTAGGTCTTTGCCAAAAGCATATTTAATGTCTGCATTTTTACCCTCCTCCTGTTCATGGTCACATGAGCATTCTCTAAGACGGTGCTCATATCCTTCTGATTTTTGCTAAAAGCACATTTAGCATCCATATTACTACCAATAGTCTGTTTAAGGCAATCCAGGCTTTTTCTATCATGTACCTCAACATTCTTCCAGCCTCTATCTCTTACCCAACTCCAAAGCCACTTCCACACTTTTAGCTATTTGCTACAGCAGCTCTCACTGCCCAGTGCCAAAATCTGTGTTAGTTTTCTATGGCTGCTGTAACAAATTACCACATACTTGGTGGCTCGAAACGAGAGAACTTTGTCCTCTCACAGTTCTGCATAACAGATGTCCAAAATTAGCTTCTCTAGCCTGACATCAAGATGTTGGCAGGGGCGTGCTTTCTCCAGAGGCTCTAGGGGAATATCTGTTTCTTGTCTCTTGCCAGTGTTTCTTCACTTGTGGATGTACCGCTCCAATCTCCACTTCTGTCTTCAGATTGTGTTCTTATCTATGTGTGTTCCACCTTCTATTTTGTCTGTATCAAATTTCTCTCTGCCCCTCTCTTATGAGTAAACATGATTGCATTTGTGACCCTATTAGATAATCTCTCCTTCTCAAAATGCTTAACTTGATCGTATATGTAAAGACCCTTTTCCCAAATAACACAAAATCTGCTGGTTTCAGGGACTAGCACTTACATTCCGGGGTGGGGTGGGGCATTTTCAGTCTATTATATATCCTATGCAACTTAAATTACGAATGTTGAAACTACTTTTGGAATAACTGTGCTAAATGTACCATAATCAGACCGAAACATAGGACTAACAATGTTCATAACAAGTTTGATAAAGTATGATGTTCCTGCTTGACACCCCCAAAATTGTTAAAATAATGGAATATTTTGGCTCCATCCTAGGCATCCTTTGGATCCTCTTAAGACAGAGGCTGTGAGGCTTTCCTAAAAGGACATCTATCCTGCTCTCACCTCAGCTGGCTGGCAAAGTAATGTGTTTGCTCTTAGTCTGAAAGAATTTCCCTTTCCCAAAGTTCTTATACATTAAAACTATGGTGCAATTCTTTTTTAAAAAACTCAATTGCAAGACACAATGTTTGTGAGGAATTCCCTGAAAATGATTTGTTCCTCAATATAGCTTATGTTGTTTTTCCAGGACCAAGACAGTTCATTGGAGAAAAACATGTACTTGGGCCACACTGTTTAGGCATGAGTCCAATAGGCAGTGCTGAAGGATATTAAGACACACTCCTGCAGTTGAACTGTAGAATCCACTGGTATGATATTAGGGAAGTTGTGCAGTGTACCCTTTATGAAGATCTACAGCAGAATGTTTCTCTTTAGCCTTGGTGCAGAACAGCTATTCTGATGACTATTAATTCAGAGTCTGATTGTTTCTCTCATTCTACTTACAAGGAAGTGCAGTTATTTGGTTCCTACCATGGTTTAGAGCCTGTGGCATGAACTTCTATGTGCTTCATTATATTTTCTCTACTCTGCTATTCCAACACACTAAGGTGCATCCTTAGAAAATACTAGATTAAAAAAACCCCTAAAAGACAGAATTATGCTGATGATTTAGTCAATAAGATAGCCTCCCTTTTGTTTCAGAAGCAAGAATTGCATATATGGCCATTTATTCCTCTTTTATTTCCCTGTTATTGATTCAGGGTGCTCCTTGAGGGAAAAATCATAATTTCTCTAATGAACCAACACTGCAGAATACTCTCTATACTATTCCAGCACTGCTATGACCCACTGACGTATGAGCCCCTTGATAGCTGAGCCCATTTTTACTATTCATTATAATTACGTGAAAATTCTTCTCTAAAGCTGTTTATCTTTCTTTATCCCAAAAGGTACCTTTGCAGTCAGCATCCCATATTGTCATATAAGGCATTTAGTACAGAGAAAATAGAGGTCATCAAACAGTGTTACAGAAAAAGGAGATTCTTGCTTCATTTCTATTAAGAAATACAAATTGACCACAAAATAGTAGATGGCTTCATTTCATAAAGTTAAAAAGATAGACTCTGAAGTGATTCCATGTGGTTCAATTTAGGGGCAGTGAACAATGACTTTGCTATCATAATCTTTGGAATTACTACATTTTTATTGGCTGGTGAACAGGGTAAGCCAAACCTTGGCTTGGAGTCTCATCTAATGCTAGTTAAAGATGACTTTATGTTTGTTGATACTTTCCCAATAAACATGTGGGAAGTGCATCATAGTCCCACTTCATTTCCTAACTCAAGTATTTTTATTTTTGTTTATTTAGTTACAGCAACTTGTTCTTTTTTTGCAGCCAAAGTCTACTGATAAAAAAAACATTACAAGAAAGCTAATGAGCATTACACAGAGTGTACATGTATCACAGAGTCTAGAAAGAGAAATTTCCACCAAAACGAGTAGATAATTAATTGAAGATGTGACTAAATACATTACAGTGAGTGTTTGGGGGCAAAATAATTACTTGAATATGACCAAAGTGAAGGAATAAATAACTTCAATCTCATGTTAATTCATCATTTTCAAAAACTGTAATATCTAGAAAGAAATGCAAACAATATTTCAAATTAACTGAAAAGACAAAACATAAATTTGTCACCCTCAAAACTCGGGGTGTATGAGGTCAACCCTAAGTAAGAAGAATATCATTTCATCTACCAGTCACTATCCTAAGTATTGGTCTGACCTAGGTTTTCTTTAGTATCAAGGTACTATACAATTAAAAACTTCCACTTGTATAACACTTGATACAGTGTTGATTTTTTTAAAATCTCATATGGTCTTTACAAAAACCAAGTAGGAGGTAGGAAAAGTACCTGGCATTCTCACATTCTAAAATAAGAAAACAGAGCTCAGAGTGGCCAAGTGATTCGCCCAAAGTCACACAACTAGAAAGTGATGAAAGTGGGCTGACACCCACTTCAGCTGGCTTGAGGAAAGTTCTATTTATCTTTGGCCATGTGACTGCAATTCTTTCCATCTATTTCATTTCATGTGGAATGCTGTTGTGCCTGGGGGAGAATCCACTCTATTCAAGTGTTGCTTCTTTTACATTTATCTTTTTTAAGCTAAGAATAATACCCGAGTTTACTTAATAGCAAAACCATTGCACATTTCTGTGCAAAATAAAAATATCAACCTACCCTTTTACGAAGTTTTTCTGCAGCATCAAGTTCAGCTTTAATAGTCTTATCGAATTTGTTTAAAAGCTTAGGCTTCTTTTTCTTAACTGAAAGAAAAAAGAGGTTTTTATTTTTATTTTTGTCTAGAAATATTTACCAAGAATAGTAATTTACATGCAGTGGGAAATCCGGCACTGTCCACATCTTTTCGGATCTCCAACATATAACACACGAGAAAGCACACTGCAGGCTCACCTTTCCTTTTCTTCCCGAGATGGTATGATAAAGCCAGTAACTGCCAAGGAAGACAGGGCAGTCCTTACTTATATGTACAAAGGCATTATTGGGAGGCTGGGTGAATATTGCTATCCTGAAATTCTCAACGATACTGGCTTTCTTTCTTTTCCTTTCTTTCTTTCTTTCATTCTTTCTCTCTCTCTCTCTCTCTCTCTCTCTTTCTTTCTTTCTTTTTTTCTGGTAGAGTCTCACCCAGACTGAAGTGGAGTGACACGATCACAGCTACCACAGCCTAGACCAGCTGGGCTCAGGTGATCCTTCTGCCTCAGCTTCCTAAAAGCCAGGACTATAGGTGCATGCCACCATGTCTAGCTAATTTTTTTAACTTTTTTTTTTGTAGAGACGAGGTCTTGTCATGTTGGCCAGGTCTTTAACTCCTGGGTTCCGGCAATCCTCTCACCTTGACCTCCCACAAGGCTGGAATTATAGGCATGAGCCACTGTGCCTGGCCCTGGCTTAGATTCTGAAATGACAATGGTAGGTATGATTTCTAAACTCTTATGACCAAATTCTTGGCTAAGTCTAAAAGACTACTTCAAATAGTTCTTGAATATGTCCACACTTTTTCTGATACAGACAAAGATGAAACGAAGAACTCTTCTCAAGGGAGTCAGATAAAACGATTTCTTAGTCTAGAATTCAAGACCTTTCCTATGCATCATGGACCAAACACTCCAGCCATACTCCATACTTCAGCCAAACTAAACTGCCCTGTGTTCCCCAGATAGGCTTTGTGCCATTTCTTATGCTTTCGTATCTAAAAATGGTCTATCCCTTATCTTTGTCAGTCAAAAATATGTCTATCCTTCAACAATGAGCTCAAAACCACACTCCTTATGAAGTTTCTCCTGAAATCACTCACATGCTGTAATCAATTCATTCTCTCTCTCTCTCTCTCTTTCTCTATGTGTGTGTGTGTGTGTGTGTGTGTGCGCGCGCGCGCATGCGTGTGTGTGCGATTAAGTTCAAAGCACCTTGCACATCTATCTTTTGTGGTACTTCCCCTATTTGACTTTTATTATAATTTTTTGTGCACTTATCTTAGTCCTTTTCCAAACCATAAACTCCTGCAGGGTGGCACCATGTCTTAAATACAGAATGAATCCATTCACACATGACTCTGGCACCCATTGAACAGCCAACCCCCTCCTGGAAGGAAGTCACACCCAGCAGGTGAGAGGGCGATTTCTATGGGTGCACACCTGGAACCTGTGGAGTGGCCCTATGCGGGGTGCTCCCTGGGAGTCCTGAGCAACAAAGGCAGAAACTTGAAGGGTAAGGAAAATGTTCCAATAGAGAAGAGGACTAGTGGTAGGGAATGGGTCCAAGTAGGAGAGAGAAAGAAACATGAGAACAAACAGAAGAGAACTTCCTCACTTTTCTGCCATTAAACCTAGAAATGTAATAGCTTCTGCTCTGTCCTCTCACAAAGAGAGACTCTTCTTCCCAATGTTCCAGCACCTCCTCCCTCACTGCACACACCTGCACTCTGTTTTCTGAATGTCTCCTCACTCTCCGACTCTGATTCGGTCCCTATCAGTATCTAATGATAATGAAGTCTCTTCCATCTTAAAGCAACCAAACCAACCAAGACAAACAGCCTACCCTCCTTTACTTACCATCTTCTCTTCCCTTCCCTCACCAAGGGCACCTCTTCACTACCTCTCCTTGCCAGTGCTCTGGTTTCCTTACCCACCACAAGGGCAAAAGCAAGTTTTCCAGAGAAGGGAGGGTCAAGTGCTCAAGTGTTAGACGGTAGGGTTCTGAGTCCCAGCTCTGTCATGTCCCAGCTCTGTGACCTCAACTAAACAAGCATTAAACTCTTCTGAGTCTCATTTTCCTCCTCTATAAAATGAGGATGTTTTTGAGAATTAACTCTGTGTGAAGCATTAGCACGGTGTCTGGCATATATATAATAAGTGCTTGGTACCTTAGTGCTAATAATGTCTATGGTCTTTTCTGCACATCTATTGGTTTCTTTTCTTCCACATTACCTGACCCCTCTCCAGCATTTGACACAGCTGACTCATTCTTTCTTCCTGAAATGATCCCTTTCCTTGACTTTTGTGTTGGTCATTCTCCTCCTCATTCTGTCTTCTCTACCATCTCTTCATCTCCTTTGTATCTCCTTCCTTCTGGGATGTTATGTTCTTCAGGATCAGTCTTCAGCCCTCTACAGGGCTTTAACCACTTAAATTTCAAACTGAGTTACACATTAACCTGTTAATTTTTCTCCTCCATTACAATAATCATAAATCTAAGAGCCTACTGACACAGATGCAGCAAGCCTATTCTTTCTCATGTTTAACTTATTTCAAAGAATGATACCCTAAGCACCTAGTTATCCAAATCAGAAACTTGGTTAGATGAGGCAAGTAAAATAAAGGCAAAGAAGAAACGTGGAATTATCCAAAGGAAGGTTGAATGGAATCACTACTGCTTTTTTAGCACTTGCTGTGCTCCAGACACCATGTTGGGTATTTAAATGTAGTGCCTTTTAGTCTCTCAAACTTTCAGACACAAGGACTTGAACTTCAGATAAGGTGAGACCACTGAGGTTCTTAAAGGGTTAGTTATCTTGACCCCTCCTCTCTCTTGCACACATGAAAGGATGAGAACATTTAATTTTTGGTTTCTGAGAAGAGAGAAGTTTCCTACACACTCTTAGCCTCCTGCCTCTTTCCACAGGGGAGGTGATGTGACTTATCCACCTGCTGAGTCGATGGAAGGAACAAGCTTGTGTAGTTCAGTCTCACCCTTTTATTGCTTCCCAAGAGTATGCATACTGAGCTAAGATGATGTATGCATGCTGAGCTGATTGCATCTACAAAGAGAGGCTTATGCATTTTTAAGAAATTGCTATGATCTTCTATTATGTTTATTCTACCTTCCTCTTCTCCCCTCCTAGGACCTCCAGTTTTTTTGCAGAAAATTGTATGTGTCTAAAGCAAAGATGAAAAAAGAGTGAATGAGTTTTTTTCAGCTACATGCCATTATATGTTACCATATATGCTGATAAGAAAAACAAATCGAAATTTCACTGAGAGATAGATTTATGGTGATGGGAGTTCATGTCTTGTCATCTCAGCACAGACTTATGTCTCCCAATTGCTCGTTTTGTTCTTGCAGAAGTGTCTGTCAGCAGAATGACAGCAGGACCTTCCGGAAAAGCTGGTATGCACCTTAGTAGAGGTTTTTACTTTGGGCATCATTGGTTTTCCCTAATGTGTCTCCTGTGTTGAAAAGTTCAAGTTAACATGAGATTTATTTACAAGGAAAAAAAAATATTGGCAGTTTGGGACATTCAAAAGAGTCAACAGTAAAATAATATGCTTGTTAAAGAGCAAAACTGTATCTTAGTGACAGGATATTTCAATAATAGCATAAAACAGACAAAATATTAAAAATCTCACAGCATCTGTTACCAAGAAATTACTTTGTCCTATCTTTTCATAATCTTCATATTTAATAGCTTCCAATTATTGCTCCTCTCTTTGAAATTAAAATTTTATCCTATCGTAACTATTTTTATTTTTAAAGGTATAAAAAGCCTGAGGCAATTTTCCCAGTTGTCAAAAAACACAGACCCATCTCTTTTGTCTTGTTCTGGGAAGGCACATGTTCGATTCATAGAAATAAGTCCTTAGTCTAGGTAGTGATGGAACCCTAGCGAACCTCAAGCTCTCTGGGTCTCAGTTTTCTCATCTACAAATGGGTAACTTGGGCTGGTTCTCCTAAGGTATCTTTGGACTAAAAAATCCTATTAATTTAAATTCAGTTAACTTTAATCATGTTGGCTGGGCACAAGTAGTTCACACCTGTAATCCCAGCACTTTGTTAGACTGAGGGAGAGGATTGCTTACACCCAGGGTTTCAAGGTAAGCACCATAGCAAGACCTCATCTCTACAAAATAAAAAAATTAGCTAGGTGTGGTGGCACATGCCTGTATGCCTAGTCACTCAGGAAGCTGAGGTGGAAGATCACTTAAGCCCAGAAGGTTGAGGTTACAGTGAGCCACAATTGTGCCACTGCACTCTAGCCTAAGCATTGGAGTGAGACCTCAACTCAATAAAATAAAATAAAATAAAATAAATCATGTTAACAGTCTTTCAAAGAAGATTTATACGGTACTAGAAACGGTTATTAATTTTGTTGAATTTGGAGTTTTCCAAATGGTTTTGGAGAAAGCTATGATATATATATATATATATAATATATATATATATATATATATATATATATATCTTAAAAAAAAACAACTGCATTACAAGTATTGTACCCTTTTCCAAAAGCACGAAGAAGTAGAGAAAAAGGATCAGTTGCATTTCAAATCCTTACTTCCCTTGGCATGCTGTGGTTGAAATATTAGAGCAAATAAAATGGAAATGAAGGACAAGAAAAGAATGGCTGAAGGTGGGAGAAGAGCACACATCATGCACCCTTAGATTGTATTAAAATGCTGACTCCTCATTTCCACTTAGTTTATGAAAGAGAATATTTTCATATTACAGTGCATGGGGAAAAGTTGATCATCAGTAAAAACAGACACAGAATCTTCATATTACTCCATGTCCTACACCCATTCCATTGAGGACAGTGAAAAAAACATCAATTTCACCATAAGGCAGGCTGAAAAGCAACAATTTCCTAGCTAGTCTCCCTGCCTCCAGTCTGTCCCCATGTTCTATCTTGTTCTGAGGATCTTTCTGAAACATAATATATCCATATCATCACATTGCTTAAAATACGCTCATAGAGCCCCAGAAAATGCAAAATAAAAATTAAATTTATTAGGATGCTATCCTAGCA